GGCTGTATTTTTCAAGTTACTTTTCTATTGGACAGTCTCCCTTACTAATTCAAGGGGATATTTTATAGCTATTAATCCTTTATTGGTCATATGCTTTACAAGTACCTTTTCCCAGTCAGTGGACTGCAGAAACACTTTTACGATGGCAGTATAGTGTATCTCAGTGGTTGGCAAACTACAGCCTGCAAGCCAAATCCAGACCTCTGACCATTTTTTGTAAATGAAGTTTTGCTAGAACCATGCCCATTCATTCACCTATTGCCTACAGCTGCTTTGAGCAGAGTTGTATAGTTGAGGGGTGCCTGGGTGGCTCAGTCGTTGAGCGTCTGCCTTCGGCTCAGGTCATGATCGCAGGGTCCTGGGATTGAGCCCCACGTCGGGCTCTCTGCTCGGCAGGGAGTCTACTTCTCCCTCTCCCACTCCCCCTGCTTGTGTTCCCTCTCTCACTGTCAAATAAATAAAAAAAATCTTAAAAAAAAAAAAAAAGAGTTGTATAGTTGAGACAGAGACCATATGGCTCTCAAGGCCTAAAATATTTACTATCTGGCCCTTTACAGATTAAGTTTGGTAACTCCTAGTCTATTCTTCAAGTAATTTACTTAACCATTCCTCTAATTACGGACATACAGGGCTTCCTTTTCAATTAAGAAATTAACATGATGAATATCTTTATGACTAAACATCTGTCAACTTTTTTTTCCTTGGAACTCTCAAATGGAATCCTGGATCAAAGTCAGAAAAAAATCTTAAGGCTTTTGAGATAGGTTGAACTACTTAAAAGTTTTCACTTTCCTTCCCATTAGCCTACTCCACACACTCTTCTACCTTCCTAGCCATGAGCACTATTACAAAATTACTTGCTGAAAATTGCATGAGTATCAAGATAATTTCCTCTTATTTAATATTTTACAATGTTTGGTATCTCATAAGGCTAAGTTCTCCCACTTTTCTTTTCTGTAGAAAAATGATGTATCTCCTACAGCCTCTTCATTCTTCAGAATGAGTATCAGAATCAATATACCAGTCAAGAACAAACGATTCTTGGACAGACTTGCATCTAAATTCCAGCTGCTTAAAAACCATGGGACTTTAAAATTGCACTTCAAAACTGTGGGACCTAACCTTCTCAAAACAGCAAACACCATCTGCTACACACAGTTGTCCTGAGGGTTAAGAGAAATAACATGTAAAGGGCTTAGCACTCCAGTATTTGGCAAATGACAAGAGTAGTGCTGTCCACTAAAAAATCCCTTCGTGGCAATTGCATTACATCTACAAAATAATCAGAAAAACCTGGCACAGAATTAGCATTTAACATACTATCAACAGAGAAGTTATTTAAAAAATCACCACGGGGGCACCTGTGTAACTCAGTGGGTTTGTTAAGTGTCCAACACTTGATTTCAGCTCCGGTGGTGATCTCAAGGTCGTGGGATCCAAGCCCCCCATCAAGCTCTGCACTGGGTGTGGAGCCTGCTTATGATTCTGTCTCTCCCTCTGTCCCTCTTCTTGCTTGTGCACCTGTGTGCTCAAAAAAAAAAAAAAAAAAAATCACCAGGATAGGGTCAATCTGGCTGGCTCAGTCTGTAGAACATGCGACTCCTGATCTCAGGGTTGTGAGTTCGAGCCCTATATTGGGTGTAGAGATTACTTAAAAATAAAATCTTAAAAAAAAATTCACCAGGGGCACCTGGGTAGCTCAGTCGTTAAGCGTCTGCCTTTGGCTCAGGTCATGATCCCAGGGTCTTGGGACCGAGCCCCGCATCGGGCTCCCTGCTCAGCGGGGAGCCTGCTTCTCCCTCTCCCTCTCCCCCCCACTTGTGTTCCCTCTGTGTCTCTGTCAAATAAATAAAGTCTTAAAAAAAAAAATTCACCAGGATAATTGCATTAAACCTATTAATCAGGGGAATTCACATCTTTACACTGGTTTTCCCACCCTAATAGTGGTACCAGTCTTGGTTTTGAGACTCGGGAATTTTTTAAAAAGCCACAACTGATTTTTGCCACTGTTCCACAAGTGCTTAAAGAGGAAAAAGTTCTTGAAAACACGGAAAATCTTTAAAGACAAAGTGGTTGTAGTAACTCATGGGTTCTACTTAAGTCTTATAAATCACACTTGTAATTTCTTTAGTTCATTGACTCTAAAATACCAACTTTTAGTTTCACTTGTTACTCTACATACTAACAAAGAAACTTGCAGATTTGATATCAAACCTAAATTTATACCATTTAAGAAGCATTTCAGTATCAGAAATATTAGAATATACTTTTAACAATACATAAAATACTTTGTTATAATCGTAACATAATGTTAAATATGGTCAATCCTCATTATTCATGGATTCTGTATTTGGGAAGCCACTTACTTGCTGAAGTTTACTTGTAACTCCAAAATTAATACTTATGGTCCTTTCGTAGTCATGCGTGAACATGCATAGAGCAGCAAAACATGTCACCTTATACACTCATATTCCCAGGTGACTTTAAACAAAGCGACACTCTGCCTTGTTCCAACTCTTACTGTAAACAAACGTCCTTTTCATGATCTAGTCCCACTTTTTGTATTTTGTGCTTTTGTTGTTTAAAATGGCCTCTAAGTATAGTGCTGTCTCATGTTCCTAAGCACAAGGCTGCGATGTGGGGCACCTGCCTGGCTTGGTTGGTAAAGCATGCAACTCTAGATCTCGGGGTCCTGAGTTCATGCCCCACATTGGGCATAGAGCTTACTGGGGGAAAAAAAAATGTAATGTGCCTTTCAGAGGAAATGTGTTAAGAAGAGTTTTGGTCAGGGGCTTGAGTGGTTCAGTCTGTTGGGCGTCTGCCTTCGGCTCAGGTCATAATCCCAGAGTATTGGGTTTGAGCCCTGCATCAGGCTCTCTATTCAGCGGAGAGCCTGCTTCTCCCTCTGCCTCTGCCAGCGCTCCCCGTTGGTACTCTCTCCCCCTCTTTGTCAAATAAATAAAGGCTTAAGTAAAAAAAAAGTTTTGCTCAGACATGAACTACAGTGCTATTGGTTGTGAATTCAATGTAAAAAAAACCAATATATATTAATTAGTGTCTTTAAATAGATACACATATAAAACAAGGTTATGTATTGATCCATTGATGAAAAACTGTCGTGACCAGAGGCCCATAGAAACCTACCCCTTTATTTTCCTTTGGAGCAATGGTTCAGTATTCACTAATTCAGGGTTCTCAGTGACTTTTTTTTTTTTAAAGATTTTATTTATTTATTTGAGAGAGAATGAGAGAGCACATGAGAGGGGGGAGGGTCAGAGGGAGGAGCAGACTCCCTGCAGAGCAGGGAGCCCAATGCGGGACTCGATCCCAGGACTCCAGGATCATGACCTGAGCCGAAGGCAGTCGCTTAACCAACTGAGCCACCCAGGCGTCCTCTCAGTGACTTCTACAACAGAACTACTGTAACAAGAATCAACTGCACTTGACATTGCTGTTATTTTTGTAAAATCAGTCACTAATATTATATACTAACCTTATCCAAAATACAAGAAATACATAAGCAAAACTTTAAACCTTTACTGAAAAACTTCAGAAAAATGGGAACACTACCATGTTCCTACATAGAAAATAGCAAATATTGGAAAATTTCTTTTCAAAAGTATACCTTATTTTTTTTTTTTTTAAGATTTTATTTATTTGAGAGAGAGAGACTGAGAGCATGAGAAGGGGTAGGATTGGGAGGGTCAGAGGGAGAAGCAGACTCCCCGCTGAGCAGGGAGCCCCATGCGGGACGCGATCCAGGGACTCCAGGATCATGACCTGAGCCGAAGGCAGTCCCTTAACCAACTGAGCCACCCAGGTGCCCCACCCAATACAAACTTTTTAAAGCAGACAAGATATCGTGAAGTACTCTTTATCACTACAGCATTCACAATTTGCAATTACCTATTAATGATTATTTAACTCTGCTTCCCTTTTAGCCTATAAGCTCCATGAGGGCAGGCGTCAACTCATGTTTATTCATGTGTGCAAAGTCTGTTCTGCCTGCCTCCTTAAAAGTTTGCTCTCCACCATGTGGCATCATTGGGTTCCCTTTCCTTCTATGTGGGTTCAAATAATAGGAGCACCACAAATCTGAGGATGAAAAATAATGAGAACACACAAATGCACTTGCTATCTCTCAATTTATGTAACCCTCTTATGGAGCCTAGACCTTTTAAGATAATCTTTGCAGAAAATTTCCTTCACATTTAAAAAACAAAAAACCCCAGGTATAGGATTAAATGTAAATACAGATTTAGTTCCCCCCAATCCTCATGGTGTAAGCTCTGCAAGGAACTGCATATACTGAGAGGTATTCTTCTCTAAACTCAACCAATTTCAATAATTAAAAAAAAAAAAAAATCCTTATTAACAACTGGGAAAGAATCCAATTTTGCTGTCAAAGAAGGTTTTTTTCTTTTTGTTCTTAAAGGAATTCTTGTAAAAGTACTTGAAAAGGGAGCCACTGACAGGTACATTTCACATTAACAGATTTTGACACTGCTCACAACTGATAATCTAGTGAATGTTATCTGCAGTTTCAACTCAAGAGAATGTAAAATTATATTCTATTGAGAACCTTAAAAAAAAAATCCACTAATGAGTACAACAAAGTCTAAGACTCCTGAATTTGAAGAGGACTATCACCTTTACTAAATACCCAAGTCTCCATAAAGTAAAACTCAGGAAAAGGGAATCAATTTTAGACCCCAATCCACAGGACGTTAGTTCCTCAAGTACCAAAAAGAACTTATTTTACTCATAGGTAGGTTCCACAAAAGAGAATCCAAGTAAAACAGTAAAATGCATATTCAGTGCATGTGAAGTAATTAGGTATATATTCTACATACATTCATAAAAAAATTTTAGTTCAAACATTAAAAGCCTGATCTAAGAATGAAATTATTCTGCGTTTGCCTAGTAGTAATACTTAGCTCTTACTATGCAAGTATCATGAATATATATGAACTATTAAAATTTGACAGTCAACAGACAACTCCGTCCTACATTTATGTTTATTAAAAACTGACATAAACAAACAAAACCTGTACAAAAAATATCCCCAATCATGTATCACTTTGAAATAGTAATCTTGAGAGACATTATCGCCTAGGACCCCCTCTTCCTCTACCCCGACCACGTCCTCTTCCTCTTCCTCGGCCTCGGCCTCTTCCTGCAACTAAAAAAAGAGAAAAACAAAGCAAGGTTAATTCTCTTCTGCACTGATTGTCACCTGGGCCACCACAAACAGCATCTACAGGAAAGAAAACTTTAACCCAGCTTTTCTCAAATGTGACCTCACAGGCATCCCTCTCAACACATTATCATGCAGAACCAAAAACTGCTGGCTTACAAAGATAATTTAATATTTATTCCATTTGACTCATCAAGTTTTAAAGTATCTATCATGTCTCAAATTCAACACAAAATAAAATCCAAATGATCTGAACCTTACACAAGATGAAAGAGATACCATATCAACGGAACAGAACATGAACATCATGTGCTAGATTTTTTTTGTTACTCAATAGGATCCAAGCAAGTTAATTCAAAGCTAAGAAAGTTTAAAATACATTACATCAAGCATCCTTAAGACTCTTTAAAATCTTAAGTCATTTGATCCAATCATAACAAAGTATTTTAATCATTATAGCAATATCCCTGTGTCAGCTGGTCTCCTAAGTCTACTTGAATATTACACTGACAGAAAACTCACTTCTCAAATGAACTTATTTTCAGTCTTCAGAGACCTATGAATATTAAAAAAATCCTGACATGAAGTTCAAGTCAGTCACATTCTAAACTTGTACCCACTGTTGCCAAACTTGTCATTCAAAGAAACAGAGTAAGTCTAGGACTTTTGTTAGAACAAGGCAGCTTAACCACATTTATCTCCAATTCCTTCTGAAATACTACTCATGACAGAAAATGAATAAAAATGGTAAATACCCATAAAGAAAAAGAAAGAGAAGGAGAGAGGGAACACAGTGGCCAGAAAGTAGACTAACAACTGTAAATGTTTAATAAAGAAAGAGTAACACTTAGAAGACCTATGACCTTAGAAGCCAAGGGTGAGATGAAGCAGGGGGTGGAAAACAAACAAAATGGTTGACAAACACGTGGTGCAAAAGACTGGTCAGTCCTCTCTTCCCCACCTTGCAAAGTTAATGATTATTTCCCTGACAGGTAGGTAGGAGAGAAAAGGTAAAATAAACCTTAAAGACATTGAAGCAGAAAGGCTTCAGATTTGAAAATAACTGCAAAGTGGATAGCAGCAAGAGGCACAGAACTGAGGGGAAGGGAAAGTGGAATTTAGCATTTTTCAAGTTGCAACCTAAATTTTTTTTTTCTTTTTTAAAAAAGATTTTATTAATTTATTTGAGAGAGAGAGAGAGAGAGAGAACACGGAGCAGGGTGAAAGGCAGAAGGAGAAACAGACTCCCTGCTGAGTGGGGAGCCCGATGCGGGGCTCGATCCCAGACTCCACGATCACGACCTGAGCCAAAGGCAGACACTTAACCAACTGAGCCACCCAGGCACCCCTAAAATTTTTTTTAACTAAAAGAGCATAAGAAACATATGGGCATTTGCATGTATTAAGACTAAGTAATTCTTCCTGAGATTTCTGTTTCAGTTATATGCATGAATGGGCCATGAAGCAAAGTATATTTCTTAGCGTGGGTGGAAGGCAAAAAAGTCTCAAAAATCATTGTTATCAAGTGACCATCTACAAAACACCCAGCCCCTTTCTCCTGCTCTGCTCCTATAATGCTGACTGCCAGGCATTATCTCCTACAATAGGTGACAGGAATCTTTTTTTGGGGGGGGGGGGGGGGTTTGAAAAGCTCCAGAAATGACTCTAGATCCCGAAATTTTGGGTCTCCTCAGTGAAGAGGCCAGCTCACTTCTGAACTACCCTAAAGTGAGACTCACCAGCTCAGGAGTCCAGCCTCCCCTCCCAGAGCGTCTCTTCCTAGGGTTCTTGTTAAGTAATAGATGGCCAAATACAAGAAACTCAAATTAAGCCTACAACATAAAGATCAAATAAAGAGAGCAAATATGGAGAAGAGAGGGAGAGAGAGACCACTTGATCAAGAAAGAAACTCTTAACTACATAAGAGAACAAATTGATGGTTGCCAGAGAGGAGGGGGAGGAGGGATGGGTGAAATACATGATGGGGATTAAGGAGTGCACTTGTCATGATGACCACCAGGTCACATATGGATCTGTTGAATCACTATGTTGTACACCTGAAACTAATATAACATTGTATGTTAACTAACTGGAATTCAAATAAAAACTTAAACAGATGGGGCACCTGGGTGGCTAAGATGGTTGGGCATCTGCCTTTGGCTCAGGTCATGATCCCAGGGTCCTGGGATCGAGCCCCACATCGGGCTCCTGGCTCAGCGGGAAGCCTGCTTCTCCCTCTCCCTCTGCCTCTCCCCCTGCTCATGCTCTCTCTCTCTCTGTATCTCTGTGTCTCAAATGAATAAATCTTAAAAAAAAAAAAAAAAAAAAACAGAGCAAATAAAAAGAGAAATCCAAGAAAACAAACAATGCCAAGAATAAAATAAAATGTAAATAAAGAAAAAACACTAATATCCTATCCAGTATTTCTCAGATACAGAACAAGATTCTATGAAAAATCATCACAGAACAGGAGGCCTGAAGATTAACTCTATGCTAGACTGGAAGATAAAGTCAAAGAAGTTTCTCAGAAAACAGAAAAAAAAAAAAAAGAGAGAAAAGACTTAGACAATTACTCAGAAGACCCAATTATTAAGACCTCCAGGAAGAAAGAATAGAACAAGTATCAAAGAGAAGAAATTTATCAAAGCCATACAAATATATTTCTTGCTTTAAATGGCAGGAATATCCTTATTGAAGGGGTCCACCAAATAAGCAAAACAACAAAATAGAGGAAAACATAGGGAGAGCAAGCAAAGACCCAATGCCAACTCATTAAGAAATTTCAGAATAACAGGAATAGAGTCAAATCTCCAAATCTTTCAAAGTGTATATAGGGTGGGGAACTAGCCATGCAAAGGCACAAAAAGAATGGCATGTCTTTAACAGCAACACCAAGAATTATTAATAAATACTATATGCTCTCAACGGCAAGTACAGGGAATCAAGAAAACAAAAAAATGTTCACAAATGTTTGTATCTCTTTTTTTAAAAAAATATTTATTTATTCATTAGAGAGAGAGAGACAAAGCATGTGTGTGCAGGCGCATGAGGGCGGGGGGAGAGAGAGGTAGGTAGAAAGAATCTCAAGTAGAATCTAGGCCAAGCACAGGGGATGATGTGGAGATCAGGACCTGAGCTGAAACCAAGAGTTGGAAGCTCAACCAACTAAGCCACCCAGGCGCCCCACAATGTTTACATTTTGAGTAGATCAAAGTATAAATATACAGTCACAAAAATGATTATAATCCTTCAAACTTACCAGCTTCCCTTTTCTTAGATTTCACCTTTGGTTCAACATCCACAAGTAGTGTATCCAGAGGTAAGCTGTCTGGGAGGATAAAATATCGAATGTTATTTCCTCGAATACTCAGTGTTTCCAGCTGTACCGGTTCTCTATTCTTCAAAGTCATTTTCACAGCTTTCAGATGGGTATTCATGCTGACATCTACACCTAGAGGAAAAAAAAAGAGGGCAGTTATTAGCATGATAAAGAAGGCAACCAGTTAATCTATCAAGCCACAGTAAATACCACAATACAAAAGAATGCTGTCCTGCTACAGTGCAAGTTTCTATGACATAATTTAGTACAACTGGTTAATGGGTGAATAATGTCAGTATAAACGAGAAATCCTTCCTTCAGAGACTATCCCAGCACATTAATATTTTGCACGGTTAAGTATGCTTACAGCTGTGAATGCAGCAAGCCATGGAGGAACCCTGAATAACACCCGACTCATTCCCACTGTGCCCAGGTATTCTCATTTCAGGGTTAGCAATGTTTACTACATGGTTCTCTCTCACTATCTTCATAACTTCCTTATACCCCATTCCGTGAAGCTATAAGCCTTGTTTTAAATATAAAGTCCTATATGCACTGTAGTATTTTCCTTGTTACTAGGAATTTAACATGTCTTTTTAACTGTATTTTTAAAGGAATGCTACGGTTTTTGTTAATACCTTAATTACCAAACTGCACAGGTTTTGAATGGTCTGCCTCAAACTATTTTTCCCATTGTTTTTAGGGTGAGATTTTGCAAAATAAAAGCACAATTTTCTAGAATGAATATATGGCATTATCTTAGAAATACCCAATTATTGGAGCCTTTACCAATATATCTGAACAAATGGGATAACTAAAGATCTAATTAATTTCTGTTCCTAGGAAGTTAGGCCAGTAAACATGAATTCTCTCAACTTTCCCAACATCCATCTCAAATAGCAGTTACACTTCCTCAGTGTCACATGGTCACTGACCATACGGTATTGAAACGTTATACTGCACTGATTTCTTTTCAAAGCAACTGCTGTTGCAAACACGAGTACGCTCAAATACAATCAGTTTAACACTATATTTGTCTTGGTTTACTCAGAGGCTGGATCTATACATTAAAAAATTATTTATAAACTTACAATTTAAATATTTCAGAGACTGGGACTACATACTAAAATAGCATTTTCATTCATTTGGCTCAGCAATTCTTTTGTAATTTTGTGGGGAACACCTACTACAAGTGAAGAATTGCAGTAGCCTTAAACATGATACACATACACATACGGTATCATTAAAGCAAAGAGTTAGACATGAAAGAAAAAAAGAATGAAGGAAAATACTCTCAAATAACCCATTCCCCATATATATTTTTACCCAAAGTAATCAAACATGAAAATCCCATCCTCTATCTTCAAGGACTTTACAACTTAATAGAGAACACAAAATTCTAAGAAAGAGTAAAATGTACTTTGAAAGATGCAATATTCTAGGCAGAGGAACACACACAGGCAAAAAGCACAAAGGCTTTAAAAAAAGGAAAACAGGGATCACATGCAGGATAACCTGGGGAATTCGGTTTGGTCTTAGCACAAGTACTTAAGGTAAAACTTAAGAAGGTCAATGAAATAATCCAAACAAAAAGAATGGGATGTCTACAATAATGTTCATTAAGTAACCGAAAAAGAATTCTGGCCTTAAAAGTAGAAGAGGTGGAAAAAAAAAGTGTTACAAAGCTGTCTAATCGCCATACCTGTGATTGTTCCATGGACCTGTGTTCCATTCTTTAATTCGATGGTTACAGTTTCGTGACTCAGTTTCATCAAAAATCTGTAAAAACAGTGGAAATATAGTAGTAAGTGTCCACCTTTAACATTTTACAATCTTTTTTAAGTCAAAGGGTGAAATTTCTAGATGTTCAAAATCTGCTATAGATGCTACCTGTATCAATTCCTATTAATAATCTGCACAACAATTTCAGCTTTCCTTGAATTATACCCTCAATATTTATGAAGGAGTATAATATCAAAAGCTGTCATTTGGACATTTCTGATTCTCTAAACCATTACACAGCTTAACCTCCAATCCATGCATACAGATCCTAAAATCATTATAATCCACACAACTGAAATCAAGAAATTATATGAAAGTGGTCAAAAGGTACAAACTTCCAGTTATAAGGCAAATTAAGTATTAGGAATGTCACATACAACATGATAACTATAGTTATTAATGCTACTGTACGGTAGATCCTGAAAGTTCTCATCACAAGAAAAAAACATTTTTCCCCCCTTCTCTTTTTTGGTATCCATACTGGATGATGTATGTTAACTAAACCTACTGTGGTAATCATTTTGCAATATACATAAGCCAAATCATTATGCTGTACACCTTAAGCTTATACAGAGCTGTATGTCCATTATATCTCACTAAAGTGGAAAGAAAAAATTATAATTGGTAGTAAAAAATTATATGCTTCCTATACGTATGTGGAATAAAAGTCTCCCTTTCTAGCCCCCCTCCATGTATATGGGGAGATTCTTCTAGACCATTTTATGTGCACTCGTAAGCATATACATAAAATGTTTTTATGCAAATTGGGTCATAACTTTTTTGACTTTTATACCCTGTAATTCTCATTCAGCTTAAAGACATTTTAAAATACATATATCTGTTTATAACAAATCCATTTATGCAAATCCTTAGCAACACTTTTACCAATCTTCTAAATCTTCATCAATTCTACAGGGGAAAAAAAAAGAATCTGTTTTTCCCTTTTACTTGTAATACTGAACATCTTTTCATGAATATGAGAAATTTGTATTTCTTTTGTGAACTACCTATTCACACGTTTTCAATTAGGTCAAAAAATTTTTAAAATTTCTACCAATTTGCCACAGCCATTCAAGTTGGTGGTTTTTATTTTTAGGTTGTTAAATTTGTGAATACTTCTGATTAATCTGTTCAAGAAGATGTTTCCCACCCCAAAACTGTAAGAAGTCTTATTCCTTCTAGTTTTCTTTTTTAAAAGATTTTATTTTGAGAGAGAGGAGAGAGAAAGTGTGCGCACAGAGGACGGGGCAGAGAGAGAGGAAGAGAATCTCAAGTGGACTCCACACTGAACGTGGAATCCAGTGCAGGGTTCAATCCCATGACCCTGAGATCATGACCTAAGCTGAAACCAAGAGTCAGATGCTCAACTGAGTAAGCCACCCAGATGCTCCTCTTCTGTTTAGTTTTAATCCACTTGGAATTCATTTCTTTTCTGTGCAGCATGAGGTAGATATCTGCCTTTATTTTTTCCCTCAATTAGACAGCCAGATGCCTCAATAACGTTCAATGAGTAATCCATCCATTCCCTACCTCATCTAGTCTTTCATTCTCCCTCACTTTATTACTATGAAATATTTCAGAGAAACAAAAATTGAAAGGTTCACAAATGATTAAAATGTTGCCATTCAGGGATGCCTGGCTCAGTCAGTTAAGCGTCTGCCTTCGGCTCAGGTCATGATCCCAGGGTCCTAGGATGGAGCTCCCCTCCTTGCTCAGCGGGGAGCCTTCTTCTCCCTCTGCCTGCTGCTTCCCCTGCTTGTGCTCTGTCTCTGACAAATAAATAAATAAAATCTTTAAAAAAAGTTGCCATTTATGTGGGAGTGTCCCCACACAATTATACTTTCACCATATGATCTATACTGCATTCATCTTCTAGTGAGAATATTCTCCTACATAATCAAAATATCACAATCACATCCAGGAAAGTGAACAAGAATCCTACAATATGATCCAACAATGTAGTTCTTATTTCTAATTTATAATACATACTTTGTACACCCTATCGTAGCATCATACTAAATTATACATGTAGAATCACCTATTTTTCTCCCCAATTAGACTACTCCAAGGATCAAAACCTTCATATCTAATCCTCAATTAGACTACTCCAAGGATCAAAACCTTCATATCTAATCCTGGGTGTCAATACACTGAATAATAGTTGGCTGAAATGCTTCAACGATTAAAAGGGAAGATAATCTGGGGCACCTGGGTGGCTCAGATGGTTAAGTGTCTGCCTTCGGCTCAGGTCATGATCCCAGGGTCCTGGAATTGAGCCCCGCATCAGGCTCCCTGCTCAGCGGGAAGCCTGCTTCTCCCTCTGCTCTGCCCCTGCTTGTGTTCCCTCTCTCGCTGTGTCTCTCTCTGTCAAATAAATAAATAAAATCTTAAAAAAAAAGAGCATGATATACCTTTAAAAAAGAAAAGGGAAGATAATCTTAAAATATCACTTTTTAGTGGCACAGACAGCTATCAAAAAGGGGGTCACTTGGTTTGGGACATATTAAGTCCCAAATTTTAAAAAGTTAATCTGTCCTTATATAAAGATCCATGTAATGATTCCTTTTCATATTTGTTGTCAAGAAAATAAAGTCTCTCTTGGGGCGCCTGGGTGGCTCAAATGGTTAGGCATCTGCCTTCAGCTCGGGTCATGGTCTCCAAGTCCTGGGATTGAGCCCCAACATCGGGCTCCTGGCTGGCTCAGAGGGGAGCCTGCTTCTCCCTCTCCCCCTGCTTGTGTGCTCTGTCTCTCTCTCAAATGAATAAATAAAATCTTAAAAAAAAAAAGAAAAGAAAGTCTCTCTCAATAAACCGTTAATACTTTATTTCATCAGACAAAAATTCTTTATGCTCTAAATATAATAATCGCTTATAATTATATTAGCTTAGAATTTTCATCTAACAGTTTCTTTCCATTATCAAGCTTTGGTTTTTATAAAATCTTTTCTTTTAGGGCACCTGGCTGGCGCAATAAGTAGAGCATGCAACTCTTGATATCCGGGTCATGAGTTTGAGCCCCACTTTGGGCATATAGTTTACTTAATTAAAAAAAAAAAATCTTTTGGGGCGTCTGGATGGTTCAGTCATTAAACGTCTGCCTTCGGCTCAGGTCATGATCCCAGGGTCCTGGGATCGAGCCCCGCATCAGGATCCCTGCTCAGCGGGAAGCCTCCTTCTCCCTCTCCCACTCCCCCTGCTTGTGTTCCCTCTCTCATGGTCTCTCTCTGTGTCAAATAAATAAAATCTCTAAAAATAAAAAAAATCTTTGAATTGTCTCCCCTCGGTAACTTTTTTTTTCTTTAAGATTTTATTTATTTATGTCAGAGGGAGAGAGCGCACAAGCAGGGGGAGCAGCCAGCAGAGCTGGCAGAAGAGGCAGAAAGAGAAGCAGGATCCCCACTGAGCAGGGAGCCCGATGCGGAATTTGACCCCAGGACCCTGAGATCATGACCCGAGCCAAAGGCAGACGCTTAACTGACTGAGCCACCCAGGCGTCCCAAGGTTTAACTTTTCTTAAAGAACATTTACTTATTTATTTCAGAGAGACAGACAGAGAGAGAGAGAGTGCACAGAGGAGAGGGAGACAAGCAGACTCCCCACAGACCGGGCAACCCTGTGGGGCTTGATCCCAGGACCGAGATCATGACCCGAGCCAAAATCCAGAGTTGGACACTTAACCGACTGAGCCACCCAGGCGCCCCAACATTTAACTTTTATAGAAGCTCAAATCATTTGTGGAAATAGACAGGATTGAAGTAAAAATAAAACATTTTAGTAATCAATCTACCATACGGAAGTAAAAAGAAAAACCAAAGTAAGCAAAATGGTTTCTGAAGGAATCAAAATACATTTCAGCAAGTCCAAGGATGTGTCTTTGACAAATATTGTTTGGAAATGAGGATTAAAAATGAATGACTAGGGGGCGCCTGGGTGGCTCAGTTGGTTGAGCGGCTGCCTTCGGCTCAGGTCATGATCCTGGAGTCCCTGGATGGAGTCCCGCATCGGGCTCCCTGCTCGGCGGGGAGCCTGCTTCTCCCTCTGACCCTCCCCCCTCTCATGTGCTCTCTCTCTCTCATTCTCTCTGTCTCAAATAAATAAATAAAATCTTTGAAAAAAAAAAAAAGAATGACTAGGAGCTCAAACTCTAGCGGAAAGGACAGACACACAGAAGATATTTAAAGGTAACTAAATTTAAAAAGCAATGGATATATGCATAGGCTTTTGCCAGGAACATAATGTAGCATGGATAGGAGGGAGTCAGAGCTTAGTGAACTTCTAGTAAGAAGTCTGAAAAGTTGGAAATATGCAGCAAAAAGAGACAAGAGCAAAGATCTGGGAGTAAGAAACAGCCCAACATGAAGAGAAACTATAGCTACACTACCAATGGATAAGTAGAGAAGAGTTAGGTAGGTTCCTTTCATGGACAGTGCAAGCTGTTAAAGAGCTACTAAAGGGTTTTCATCAACAAAGTGGAATGCCAGGGTCATACTCATATTGGAAGACAAATTAGGTGGCTAGAACAGTACATAAAGTTACAGTTATCAAGACAGGAACCAACAAATAGATAATGAAACAGAAAAGAGTCCAGAAATGAACCCACATTTAGTTAATTTTCTACAAAGGCGCCAATGGGACTGTCAAAGCACTCCAATCGGCAAAAGAAAGCCTTTTCAACAAATGATGAAATCCATGGTAATAGGGGTTTATATTCCCTAAGAATATGGAATAACTGGAAGTCTATGTAGAAAAAAATGAACCTGGAACCCTAACTCACACCACTTACCAAAATTAACTCAAGATAGATCACAGGCCTAAACATAAAAGTTAAAATGATAAAGCTTTAAGAGGAAAACATAGGAAAATAACTTCATGGTTTGAGGGTAGGCAAAAACTGGACAGTACCCAGAGAATAACCATAAAAGGAAGAGCTGGTAAATTAAAACTTCAAAATAAATTTCTGCTCACCAAAAGAACTTATTAAAGGAATGAACAAGCAAGTTAAACTGGGAGAAATTACACCTGACAGAGGACTAGTATGCAGGATATATAAAGAATTCTTACAATTCAATAATAAACACAATCAAAACCAAACACTTCACAAAGATACATGAATGAAAAAAAAACAAAAAACAAAAAACCAAAGATACATGAATGGCCAATAAGCAGGTGAAAAGGTGTTCAACATCACTAGTCATTAGGAAAATGCAAATTAAAACCATAACAAGACACTACTACACAAGCACTGAAATGGCTAAAATTGTGAAATCCTGGCAATTTATCAGATCATCAAGAAAGAAGTCAAAGACAACTCGCAGGCCTTTGTTTAGAGTTTGACAGTAAGGATGATAGTGCCACCAACCATCGTACAAAAATAAGTCAACCGTAATGCAAACCAGTTAGACAAATACCCATTTTCTTGGCACAAAATACATTCTCCAGTAAGAAGAAATTTTATTTCTACTGTCTAAGACACAGAATAGGATTCAGTACAGACTTTAAAATTTTCAGGAAAACTGTCACAACACGCAATATCTTTAAATGAGACAAAATGATTCCAAAGAGTCTGACACAAAACTTAACTGTACGTAGATTCAGACAGGCAGGTATGGAGAAACTCCGAAAATATACTTTAAATTCTGGGGCGTTTGTCTCCAAAGTCACAGTTCAAATAAAAATGGACTAAACGTTAACCTTAAATGCCTTCCCTATAAACTCTGAATACACATTGAGGGTTTTATATGTTATTTTTTTTTTTAAGATTTTATTTATTTGAGAGAGAGAGAGAATGAGAAAGAGAGAGAGCACAGGAGAGGGGGGAGGGTCAGAGGGAGAAGCAGACTCCCTGCCGAGCAGGGAGCCCGATGCGGGACTCGATCCAGGGACTCCAGGATCATGACCCGAGCCGAAGGCAGTCGCTCAACGAACTGAGCGACCCAGGCGCCCCCTATGTTATTTCACCCATACTAGAAATTACCTACTTGTCTGTCTTCACAAAACAGAAAGTTTCAAGAACACAGGAACCCCACCTTAAAAAAAGAAAATCCATTACCAGCGCACAGCGTAACAGGTGCCCAATAATCGCAACTGACAAACCTTGGTTCAGACAAGAGCCTAGCTACGTGTATAACTGCTAACTTAATCAGAAACTTCCTCTATGTTCAAGGCTCTCCCCCTCAAGGAAAAACACCAAAACCTAATCTATCTGCAGGTAGTTTAGAATGAATCACTCAAATCAGTAAACCAGTAGTCTCAACTAACCGATGAAGTTTAAACGCAAATAAAACAGAATAGCGATTATCAGCGTAATCAGTCATAAACACGTAAACTGATTCTGCCTCCCCTGGGGAGATTCTTTTCCTGAATTAAAGTCCTATTTTGAAGAGACATGTGAGTTGAGTAATCTTAAATCTAAGGAGTTATCAAAATATAAACAACAACAACAAAAAAAAAACCCCTAATGAAACCGTAAGTCCAGTCCTTATTTAAAACATTTCGGAAATGGGTTTCATTATTTTCAGATAAACCCCTGCAGTTTCTAAGTACACCTTAAAAGCTCATTAATTTAACGCAATGCATACAATTATTCTTTATGTCTCCCACGTTCTCAGAGAACCTAGAACTCCTGAGCGCTGAGACGGCCCAGAAAAGTAATCTAGACTAAGAGCACGAGTCCTAATGAAATGAACATCTTCAATTAACCGAAAGTAAGAGCTTGCACCTTTAAGGCCTCTAAGACACTAAGGGGAAAGGAAACCGACAGGCTTTTACGTCCACTTGTCTGAAGACATGCGGGATCCGCGCGCTATCCAGTCTGAAGCCCTGGCTCCAACGCCCGCGGCGGCGCGGCCAAGATGTGGCGGGAGCAGTGGGCGCGGGAGGCCGTTAGCAGGCCGCGCGCGCACGCGGCTTTCGCGCCTCCCGCAACTGGGCAGTCCGGCCTCCCGCTCGCGGCCCAAATCGTCACAGCCCTAACCGCGCTGGGTTACCTCCTCACCTCACGAGCTTCATCCTAGCGGCGCCGTCTCTCTTTCGGTCGGAGAGTGAACAAAACCGGACTACCCAGGTCCGAAAGTCTAGGCGTACGAATGGCCGGAAACGCCTACTCCTTGGGCTCCGACGTAAAGAGCGCGAGGAGCGCGGCGGACGCAAAGCGGAAACGCCGAGGCCACGCTGTGCCGTACTCCCTTCCGGCTGCGCGGAACGTCACTACGGCCCCTGGCGGCTGGAGGTGTGTCTTGCGATGGCTGAGATGACTTAGCGCAGGTCTAGGAGGAAAATTACAGTAAGGTGGGGGAGTGGGGATTTGAGGAGATTAGATCCAATTAGGGGGCCCTTCGGCACGGCCGGGAGCCGTGTGTTATGCAGCAGTAAGTATACCCGTGAAGTTCGGGAAGTTCTGAGAAAGCTCGAAAAATTATGCTAATTCCGCTCCAACACCAGGAATGTACCAGAAGAAAATCACAGTTTAGCGGATTATTTTTACTTTTTTTTTTTTTTTTAAGATTTTACTTATTTATTTGTCAGAGAGAGAGAGAAAGAGTATAAGCAAAGGGAGAGGCAGGCAGAGAGAGAAGCAGGTTCCCTGCTGAGCAAGGAACCTGATGCCGTGCTCACTCCTAGGACCTTGGGATCATGACCTGAGCTGAAGGCAGACACAACTGACTGAGCCACCCAGGCGGCCCTATTTTTACTTTAAATTCTGGTCACAAACCTCAGAAGGGTATCCTACACTGTTGAGAGATCTGTTGTGGTTCTCTAATAAGCTCACAAACTATTTCATACCTTTTCTCTCCCTCTGAAACCTTCTACAGTTTCTTTCTCAGATCACTCTCTAATATTTCCTACTTTTAGAAAACCAGAAGCCACCTTTTCAGCTTTTCTTCCAGTTAGAAGGGTAGAAATACTATTGCTCCTTTCAAAGGCAAATTCCTCTTCACTGTAGTCTGGATCCCAGCTCTCATTTTTTCAAGAATTTCACTCCTTCAGTTATCTCCTAACTCGAATCCTCAATCTCTCTCTCTTCAGGGGATTTTTTAAAAAATAACACAACTTTATCTTAAAAACAAAATTCTTCCCTGATGCAGCTCCAGCTACTGCTAGATTTCTTTCACATAAAAACTTCTTGAATGTGTTGTCTACACTTGTTTTATCACCTCTAATTCACTCTTCAGACTCCATTGATACTGCTTTTCTAAAGGTCATCAAAAACCTCGAGACAAACCTCTATCTTCATCTTACTCAACATTTCCGCAGCATTTAACATTACCCTTTTGAAACACATGCCTCTCTTGACTTTCAGGATGCCGCGCTTACCTGATGCTACTCCTATGCCAATAGTTACACTTTCTAGGTCTCAGCTGCCTCATCCTCTACTGAGCCATTACATGTTGGAGAGTTTCAGGGTTTACGCCAGGTGCAGTCTTATTATGGATACTTTCTCCTTTAGCCTAGGTGATCTCCTCTAAAACCAGGGCTTTGATTTGTATCTTCAGCCTGGATGCCATCCTTGATTATCAGAACTCTTGGAAGTGTAAGGCAATGCTCATCCAACTTTTATGTGCATAGAACATACCTGAGGAAATTTTAGAAAGAAAATTCTGATTCAGTTGGTGTGGGGGCTGAAATTCTGTATTTCTAAAAGCCTTCAGTTGATGAAGATGCCCCTAGTCTATGGACCATAATTTGAGTAGCAAGACTGTAATGTTCATTTGTGTGTTGCCTTCTCAATATCTATCCATCTCCCATCCCAACATTTCCTAATAATCTGATGATCCATGTGATCCCAATGAAGCTGACTCTATCCTTGTGTCAATCATCACGTTCCATTACTTGTCCACAGTGGGCTTGGAATGTAAACTGATCCAGTCAGACCTTTGCAGGGAATTCTCTTTCCTTTTGAATGTGAATGAAGAAGTAGTAGCCCCTGGAGTTTTATTGGGAACGCCCTTAGAACCAAGAGAAGAATCAGTTTTAGGAGAGACTTAAAAAAATAAAATCCATGATGATATTAATAAGCCCGTGGAAATTAAGATTAAGGGGACACCTGGGTGTCTCAGTGGGCTAAGTATCCAACTGTTGATTTAGGCTCAGGTCATGATCTCAGGGTTGGGAGATGGAGTCCTGCATTTGGCTCTGTGCTGGGCATGGAGCCTGCTTAAGATTCTCTCTCCCCCCCTCTCCCCTTCTCCCACTTCACGCACTCTTGCGTGTGCGCTCTTTCTCAAAAAATTAATCAATTAAAATTAAAGCTGGTGGGGGGTGGGTAATAAATAAATTTAAATTAAATAAAATTAAAACCTCAGTTCATCAGTTGCAATACTCATATTTCAAGTGCTCAAGAGCCCTATGTGGCTATGGCTACCCTTTGAGATAGTGCAGATATAGAACATTTGCATCATTACAGAAAGTTTGATTAGTGCTGCCCTGTTTATTACCATATTTTTTCCTTCTTTGCATTTAATTGTTATTTACTTATTTATTTATTTATTTTTTTAAAGATTTTATTTATTTATTTGAGAGAGAATGAGAAAGAGAGAGCACATGAGAGGGGGGAGGTCAGAAGGAGAAGCAGACTCCCCACTGAGCAGGAAGCCCGATGCGGGACTCGATCCTGAGACTCTAGGATCATGACCTGAGCCTAAGGCAGTCGCTTAACCAACTGAGCCACCCAGGCACCCTATTTACTTATTTATTAACTGACTTGAAAAATGTACTGTCTGAAGGCAGGGTCTTTTTTTTTTTTTTAAGATTTTATTTATTTGACAGAGAGCGCACAAGCAGGGGGAGCAGCAGAGGGAGAGTGTGAAGCAGACTCTCCGCTGAGTAAGGAACCCGGTGTGAGGCTCAATCCCAGGACCCTGGGATCATGACCTGAGCCAAAGGCAGATGCTTAACTGACTGAGCCACCCAGGCACCTCTGAAGGCAGGGATTTGTATCTGTTCTGTTAATTTCTATATTCCCAGTATCTAGAATAGTGAGTTGCACACAACGTGCCCTCAATAAATATTTATGAAATAACTGATTGTCTCCCCCATTAGAATGTATGCTACATGAGGAAGGGTACTCTGTGTATTGTTCACTACAGTATCCCTAGTACCAAGCTCAGAGTACTCCTTCCTGCTATCCTCAAGGCCTTTTCTACTTTGGTTTTGCCTACCTTTTTTTTTTTTTTTTAAGATTTTATTCATTTGAGAGAGAGAGAGAGTGTGCACGCACACGTGAGCGAGCACGAGAGGGGGGTGGGGGGGCAGGGAGAAGGAGAAGCAGACTCCCTGCTAAGCAGGGAGTCTGACACTGGGCTCAATCCCCTGACCCTGGGATCATGACCTGAGCTGAAGGCAGACGCTTAACCGATTGAGCCACCCTGGCGCCCCAGCTCTGCCTACCTTTTAATCCCTTTTCCCCTCAATAATATTGGAATATTTGAGTTCCTGCAACTCATCAAGTTCCCTCTCCTCTCTGGACTTTTGTAATTCAGTTCTTTAATCTGGCTAACACTTATTCCTTCTCAAGTGTATGGGGCCAGCATTATTACTTATATGTGTTAGTAGCGAGTGTCCCAGAAGATGGCAAATTGAAATGCCAGTATCAGTTGATTTATACCAAATTGCTATACTTTTTCTTTGTTTTTATTTTCTAGATTGAAGTGGTTTTTTTTTTTTAGAATTTTAGCTCTTGTAGTAATTATCACAAACTGTCAAGAGTCTTTTTTTTTTTTTTAAGATTTTATTTATTTATTTGACAGAGTTAGTGAGAGCAGGAACACAAGCAGGGAGAGTGGGAGAGGGAGAAGCAGGCATCTTGCCGAGCAGGGAGCCCGATGTGGGGCTCGATCCCAGGACCCTGGGATCATGACCTGAGCCGAAGGCAGACGCTTAACGGCTGAGCCACCCAGGCGCCCCTCAAACTGTCAAGAGTCTTAAAATAAGGGGCGCCTAGGTGGCTCAATTGGTTAAGCGACTGCCTTCGGCTCAGGTCATGATCCCAGAGTCCTGGGATCGAGTCCCACATCAGGCTCCCAGCTCAGCGGGCAGCCTGCTTCTCCCTCTGACCCTCTCCCCTCTCATGCTGTTTCTCTCTCTCTCAAATAAATAAATAAATAAATAATCTTTAAAAAAAATTATTTTAAGAGTCTTGAAATAAAGTCAACAAGAGTGGACCAACAAAGAAAAAAGACTTTATTTGCTGCTAGCAGAAGGATCAGTCTGAACGTGTCTGGAAGTTAGCAGAGGCTTTATAGGTTCTGGCATTTAGATTTGTCACAAGAAAGAAAAGGAACAAGGAAATGAAAATGTGATATATGGGGCAATGCAACTGCTTCATTATTAGCTTTTAGAAATAGATGTCCTCGGGGCGCCTGGGTGGCTCAGATGGTTAAGCGTCTGCCTTCGGCTCGGGTCATGATCCCAGGGTCCTGGGATCGAGCCCCGCATCGGGCTCCCTGCTCCTTGGGAGCCTGCTTCTCCCTCTGCCTCTCTCTCTCTCTGTCTCTCATGAATAAATAAATAAAATCTTAAAAAAAAAAATTAAAAAAAAAAGAAATAGATGTCCTCATGATAAGCAAGGGCAGGAAAGTACATTCTACAGTTTGGAGTTAGAAAGGAAAACAATTTAAACAATTCTAGATTACATTCACAATTTTGAATTTATCAAGAGAATTTACAAGTAGGGGCTTGTAGTTCTTGTAAGAATTGAGAAAAAGACCTTTGCAATTTACAGAACCATAATGTTGAACATCAAGATGCATTAGCTAGGCCAGAACAAGTGTTTTTAGCGTGTGTACATGGCAAAATGTGAACTAATCAGAGGTCTCCCCCAGAACTTTCTCAGGAGCTCTCAGGAATGGAGGTCTCTCTTTTTACTGGGATCCGGTTGGTGTGAGCTAGTATAGTCTTTGAAAGCTCAGTCAAGCAAGATAATTTATTCAGTTGATTATGATTTCTTTTAGTAGATAACCAAATCAAATGAATCAAATTCCAAAGTTCGTAGACAGACTGCTCTAAATGAAAACCATTGATAGAAAGCAAGCCAAATGTTGTCAAAAATCACATTACAAGGGCGCCTGAGTGGCTCAGTCGGTTGGACATTTGACTCTTGATTTCAGCTTAGGTCGTGGTCTCATGGGTTGTGGGATCGAGCCCTGTATAGAGCCCTGCATCAGGCTCTGCTTCTCTTCTCTCTCCCTCTGCCCTTCCTCTCTCTCTAAAATAAATAAGTAAATCTTTAAAAAAAATGACATTACAGAATAATTAAGATTTAATCAAACAACAAATTGAGACCTCTGGCATTAATGAATCAGAAGTGAGATATCTTTTAAAATGATAAAGAATAATGCTCAAGAAAGTTTATTTTTCCCATAAAAGCAAACTATTTTATGAATATTTTTATTGAGATATAATGGACATATAAAATTGTATAACTTTAAGGTATACAATGAGTTGATTAGGTATTTTTATAGATTGCAGTTATGATTACCATCTTAGCTGACACCTCCATCACATCACATAATTATCATTTCCTTTTTGTGGTGAGAACAATTAAGATCTAGGGGTGCCTGGGGAGCTCAGTTGGTTGGGTGTCTGCCTTTGGCTCAGGTCATGATCCCAAGGTCCTGGGATCCAGTGCTGCATTGCCTTGGGCTCCCTGCTCAGGAGAGAGTTGGCTTCTCTCTCTCCCTCTGCCCCTCTGCTCGTGTTCTCTCTCACTTGCTCTCACTCTCTCTCAAATAAATAAGTAAGATCTTAAAAAAAAAAAAAAAGAAGCCTATTTTGTGGGAATGGAAACTTGTAAATATGGTTTGTGTGTGTAAATAAAGCGGTTTACACAGAAAAAGAAATCCCATCAGTTGCCTGACAATCTAAAGGTGAAGGCAAATATAGTTGAGATAGTCTGGTACATAAACCACTTTAATCAGGTTGGTGGTCTACTCCTGACTTGTCTCCTCCTCCCCGATTAAAGTCATTTGGCATATGCCATTAAAGTATATATATATCAGGAACAGGGACTGGGGAGGGGGGCATAGGGAGGTTTTTGCCAAGTAACACAATGTATGGTGATGTGGGCAATGGCCTCACCCATCAATACCTCTGGTTTTGGTTTTTAAACCACAGACTCTTTCCAGACGAAACTGACAAGCAGCTCAATAAAGTTTTGTGGAAGATGTGTCAGAAAATCAGGCTTGATAAACTTAGAGTACATTTTGATTGTACTTAGTTTCATAAAAACAGGTCAGTGAGGGGAGAACACATGTATGATCATCTCCAGATTCTCAAAAGCATGAGTACCGGTTTAACCTAATCTTACAGTTCCGCAAATGAGAATAGCACAGTAAGCGTGTTCAAGAGTGTGGGAACCACGAATACCGGTGATTGAAACCTGTGTTCTATCTTTAGAGGTTTCGAAGAGCCAAAGCTTTGTCTGAACACCCGCCATGACTAAATCTAGTACAATTGCTGTCGACTCCCGTGCGTCCGCACACAAGGAGGAAAGTGTGTAAGGATAAGGTGAAGCCCTGGATTTTTTGGAAGCACTGGAGTGCATTGCAGGGGAAGGAAAGAGAAGGGTCAATTGCCTCCCCTTTTCTTTACATTGGCCCAAGTAAAAGATTAAAGGTATTTGAAACAGAGGTCGCAGAGAGCAGTACCCGCAACCCAAAGTGGGACCAACGAAGAAGCATTTACAAGACAAACCACAGCTACGGGCGTGGGTGCCTTTATTAAAGAGACATCCCCGGGAAGGGCCAGAGGCCGCCGCCTAGGGGCGCCGCCGCTTCCCGGCGAGACGCCCACCCGCGGTGCGCGCACGCGAGGCCTCCCACCGCGCCTGCGCTGAGGGTGTACGCTGGCTTGTTTTTCCTCCGACACCCAGCCGACTCCCGGCGGGGGGTGAAAAACTGCGCGACACGCAGCGAGCGTGGCGGCCATCTTCCTCCTCTGGGCACGTCAGCTGAGCCTGTGACGGCTGAAGAGGAGCGTTGCGCAAGCGCGACCAAGACGGTCACAGGTAACTCCCATCTGACGGGCGAGGCGTCGCCGTCGTCGCCGGAAGTTTGGCGTATCTGCGCCGCGGGAGAGGCGGCAGACGAAGCTGTCTCCTGATACCCGGATGTGAGGCGATCCGCTGGCTCGCGTTGGACCCTCGGCCAGGAGTGAGGAAGGTAGGCTAGCTTTCTGACCGTCCTCGCCGCGTGCTGTCGCGCCTCCTGCGTCCTCACCTCCCTCTGCCAGCCTCTCCGGAGAGCTGGACGATTCCCGCCCCCCCCCCCCCTTCCTGTCCCACCTTCTGTGTCGTTTTGCATCGTACGCCTCTTCCTACTCCTCTGGTCCGGGCTCCTGGGGCCCCTGGGAGGGAGTGGGCGGCTCGAAGACACTGTCGCCTGAGGTAGGCAGTCAGCCTGCGCGTCTCGGCTGCCCAGTCGCCTCATCACCTGCCACTGCTGGGTAGGCAGAGGTAATAAGGGGCCATGACCGAGGACCGCGGGTCAGGCCAGGGCTCTCAAGGCGGCTGAGAGGGCATCCAGAACCCGGAGGTGGCGTGTAGCCATTGCGACTACTGGGGCGGTGTCGGCGCTGGCCCGCAGGTAGCCCCCGGCCTTGTCCCCGCCCCCGGCGTCTTTCCTTCCCCGCGTTTTCCCGGAGCCAGCCCCACCAGCCCTCGCGGAGTTGCGGTTCTTGCGGCTTGCTCCCCTGCCTTCGCCCCGGGCGCCGACCCGACGTGAACTTTGAGGCCTCTGCAGTCTGCGGGGTGTGATGTGGGGATCTTGGAGGGGAGCAGTGGCCCGGGTCCAAGGTCATGGAGTGATTCAGGTTGAACCTGAAAGTCTGGGCACAGGTAGGGCTGCTCTAGAGTAAAAATGGGTGCATTGAAGGCCATAGTGAAGTTTATAGGGATAGATACGAGCAGAAGGGAATTGGGCCCTAAACTGTTAATAAGATTATTTACAACGGGGGTTTGTTTTACTCAGGCAGAATGGGATAGCGAGTCCAAAAATGAGAGAACTCTCCCACCCCCACACTCCCAACCTCTCCCCATCCCCTAGCCCTCACCTCCCCACCCCCGCCTCTAAATGTTGAGTTCTGGAAACCCTGCTGCAGGTACTGTATTTTTCGGGGGTGGGGGGAGCGCAGCGGGGGAGAAGGAAGGAGTTAAATCGTTGTGCTTTGAGAAGTACTGTGAACCTTTAGGTAGTTGAAATGGGAATCTTTCAGCAGGAAGTAATTGGAGCACATAGTATTTAACTAGTATTATCACATGATATTTCAATAAATAATAAGCCTTCACAAAAACCAATAAAAGAGTGCTACTTGGTGGAATAGGAAGATGTGGACGGGTCTTGTTTTTCCTCTAATTTTTAAAAAGCTGGGTAACATGGATTTCAGTTTAAAACCTGGTTGCAGTGAACTCTGGTATATTCAGTGTATCTTTTTATTGGGTCCTTAGTTTCTGCTTTTCATAGGGCATCTACGACAATGGAACTATTTTTAATTTGAAGAACTTAAAAATTCTCATTATGGAATTAGATATGAGAGTAGGATGAAAAGTGCTTGAAAAGCATTAGTTTGGAAGCTGCAAATTTAGGCCTAGAGTATGTGAGGAAATGAGAAAACTCTAACAGACACTTAACCCTTTTAGGCAGAATGCAGTTTTATGCCCCTTAGGTTAGATATGTGACTTTGGAAGTACCCTTCTTAGAACAAAACTTGCCCTGGCTTATGGGCTTTTGTACACCTTAATCATCCTGGCTCAGGAAAATTTTCTATCATTTCCCATTGGCTAGTATAATTCTGTAATGAACAGTAATTTTTTTTTTAAGATTTTATTTATTTGACAGAGATAGCGAGAGCAGGAATATGAGTAGGGGGAGTGGGAGAGGGAGAAGCAGGCCTCCCGCGGAGCAGGGAGCCGGATGCGGGGCTCGATCCCAGCACCCTGGGATCATGACCTGAGCGGAAGGCGGATGCTTAACAACTCAGCCACCCAGGTGCCCCACAATAATTTTTTTTTTTAACATCAGACGCATACAAGGCTAGGCATGCTTCGAAAAGGAAGGAAAAAGGGCCCTAATTAATGAATGCCATTACCCCCCATTGCTGGATGGCCTTTTTTTAGCTTGGTAATTTATTACAGCACAGTCTGATTGTATTTATTATAATAATTAAGGTAACTAGCATTGCACAATTCAAAATAATGGTTATTTAATAGATAAATATTTTTCCATGACTTTTTGGGGCAGATTTATGTTAGTGTAGAGTTCTATGATTAACCTTTATTGGGAAGTCTAGGTGGTAGTTTGAAATCAACTCCGGTAAAATTGTTATCGTAGATTGTAATTCACTTCAGGACTGTGTTACCCCTTCAGCAGCTCAGATTTTTCTGTGCATCTTTTTCTTGGCACAGTGAAAGTTCTTTGGCTCTATTTCTGCATAAGTTCTATATTACAGCTGTATCATACTACTGTAGTTACTTTTGGCAGATGGATAATTCTGTTAACTTCACCATCCTTTTTTTTGAGGGGGCAATATCTTATGCTTAATTGCATTATAGTACATCTGAAGAAAGCAAGATTTATGTCCTCTGTTTTCTACAGCTTTAAACATTTGTGGCTGCATATGTGAGATTCACAGAGATGTAAATAAAAATGGGGTATTAAGTATTACTTTAAAGAAGTGGTTCTCAGGGGCGCCTGGGCGGCTCAGTTGTTAAGCATCTGCCTTCGGCTCAGGTCATGATCCCAGGGTCCTGGGATCGAGCCCTGCATGGGGCTCCCTGCTCAGTGGGAAGTCTGCTTCTCCCTCTCCCACTCCCCCGCTTGTGTTCCCTCTCTCGCTGTCGCTCTCTCTGTCAAATAAATAAAATCTTTAAACAAAAAAAGAAAAGAAGTGTTTCTCAGACTTTTTGGTTAGGATCCCTTTACACTCTTAAAAATGATGTAGGACTTAAGTAGCTTTTGTTTATATGGTTTATATCTATTGGTAATTATTGTATTCTAAGTTAATTTAAATATATTAATTCATTTAAAAATAGCTAACAAACTAATTACAGGTTACATAAATAATTTTTTTTTTTTAAGATTTTATTTATTTGACAGAAAGAGACATAGTGAGAGAGGGAACACAAGCAGAGGGACTGGGAGAGGGAGAGGCAGGCTTCCCGCTGAGCAGGGAGCCTGATGTGGGGCTCGATCCCAGGACCCTGGGATCATGACCTGAGCCGAAGGCAGACGCTTAATGACTGAGCAACCCAGGCGCCCCATAAATAATATTTTTTATTAAAAAACTATTTTCCAAAACAAAAAAAATTTAGTGAAAAAATGGCAACTGTTTTACAATTTTGTAAATCTCTTTAATATTTGGCCTGATAGAAGACAGCTGGATTTTCCTATCAGTTTTTGCATTCAGTCATATGTTGTTCTGGTTGGAGTGTATGAAGAAAATTCAGCTTCACACCAATATGTTGGGAGGGGTACTTTAATAATCTTTTCAGATAATTGTTTCAGATAATCAGATAATTCAGATATTCTTCTTTGATTCTACAACAAAAGTCAAGTGGTAATTTCTTAAAGGGTACTTTCAATGTGGAATCTGAAATGCCTCTATATACTTTTTGTACAGTGTTGTGTTAAAATTCATTGGTGTGTTTTGCACTTTGATCTTTTATTCAAGAATGATTTTGATCTAATGAACCCCCTGAAAGGATCTTTGGAATCCCCATAGTCCCCATATCACACCTTGAGAACTGTTGCTTTAATGTAAATAATTCAACAGTTTAGAATTAATGTAGTTATTGAAGCTGAAAGGGATAATGATAATATGGAAATGAAGTTGTTAAGTGAAAATTATTAGTGGTGGCGCCTGGGTGGCTCAGTCGTTAAGCGTCTACCTTCGGCTCAGGTCATGATCCCAGGGTCCTGGGATTGAGCCCCGCATCAGGCTCCCTGCTCCGCAGGAAGCCTGTTTCTCCCTCTCCTACTCCCCCTGCTTGTGTTCTCTCTCTCTCTCTCTCTCTCTCTCTCTCGCTGTGTCTCTCTCTGTCAAATAAATAAACAAAATCTTAAAAAAAAAAAATTATTAGTATACTTAACAGGTGCTTATGATGTGCCAGGAGCTCTTCTAAGGACTTTTTTTTTTAAATTTAATTTATTTATTTGAGAGAGAGAGAGCACAAGCAGAAGGAGGGGCAGAGGGAGAGGGAGAAGCAGACTTCCCCCTGAGCAGGGAACCTGACACGGGGCTGCATCCCAGGACCCTGGGATCATGACGTGAGCCAAAGACAGACGCTTAACTGACTGACCCATCCAGGTGCCACCTCTGAGGACTTTATATTAGGAAATGTTTCTTTTGTATCCTTTTTAGTGATGGTTAAGAGAAAGGCAAATATAATTTAACTTATTTTTTTTCCCTACAGATAGTACAGTCTTTCTGATGTATGTTATTTATAATGCAGATATAGTTCTATTTTATTTTATGTTTTTTAAGTAAGCTCCAGGTCCCAACATGGGCTTTGAAGTTAACCACCTGGAGATCAAGTGTTGCATGCTCTCTTGACTTAGCCAGCCAGGTGCTATCTATCTATTCATTTATTTTATTTTATTTTTTTACTTTTTAATCTTTTGCTTATTTATTATTTTTATTATTTTTTCAAGTAAGCTCTAGGTCCCAATGCAGGGCTTGAAAATCACCACCCTGAGGTCAAGAGTCACGATATAGTTCCATTTTAGAGGATATATACTACTTAAATAACTTTTCTGTAAGGTTTTTGAGGACAGGAATATGCCTAGCCCCAGCATCTGTCACTGGGTATATTTAAAATATATAGTCTTAGAATTTTTTAGCTCAGAAAATTCAGTTATTGAATAAAACAAATCATGGGAAATTTTAAGAAGATAATCCTGTTAACATGAAAATTTGGAATTTATTATTTATTTTAAAGATTTATTTATTTGTCAGAGAGAGGGAGAGCGTGCACGCACACGTGCGCACAAGCAGGGAGAACAGCAGGCAGAGGCACACACAACAGGGAGAAGCAGGCTCCCCGCTGAGCAAGGAGCCTGACTCCATCCCAGGACCCTGAGATCATGACCTGAGCTGAAGGCAGATACTTAACCAACTGAGCCACCCAGGCATCCCTTGAAATTTATTTTGTTAAATTAGTTCAACA